CTTTACTTTTTGCATTTATTATGTTAAAATACACAGAACGAAGTTTATCATTTTGACCATTTTAAGCACACATTTCAGGTGTTCGCATCGATCCCTGTGACGCTTTTCATCTTGTAGATCTGAAAGTCTGTCCATTTCACAGTAATGTGACACCCTCCCCTTCCCTTCGCTCTGGCCACTACCTGTATACTTTGTGTCTCTGGTTTCAACCCTTCTGAGCTCCTCATGCAGGGAAATCATGCAGTGTTTGTCATTTTGGGACTGGTTGTGGAGGTTGCTCAAGACTCCATATGAATTTCAGGATGGATTTTTTTGATCTCCGTAAAAATCCCCATTGGGATTTTGATGGGGATTGCGCTGACGCTGTAGATCAGTTGCTTTGGGTAATGTCATTTTAGCAATATTAAGCTTTCGAATCCATGAACATGGGATGCCTTTCATTTCTGTCTTTAATTTCTTTCTTCTTAATGTTTGTAGTGTTGTACCAGTCTTTCACCCCTTCAGTTAATTCCTAAGTATTTTATTCCTTTTGATGCCATTGTCAATGGAATTGTTTTCATAACTGTTTCTTAAGAAAAAATATACAGCCATGGTTATCTGTGTATTCCCTTTAGAAACAGTAAGATTTAGGAAAGAATTAAGAAGAAAATCAACCATACACAGCATCCCAGGGCCCCCTCGGTGCCTTGTCACTTTAGTGTTTATCACTCCAGACGTGTTCGTATGTTTTCACATGAATGTATCACACACACGTGTGCAAGTGGGATCACACGGTTTTTCTAGACTCTCATTTCACATTACACATCAAAAATGTGTTTCCAACTACAGACAGGTGCTGCGAAACACAGTGAAGACAGTAAGTGGCAGCTCTGATAAAACTCAATGCACATTCGATTTATTTTTCAGCCCAGGGTAGGATATCTGAGAGTCTTGCACTTGAAAAGTACAAGCACCTAATTTGACTTGGAAAAGGAGGGACTTTTGCTGAGCATTCTGCTTTGTGCAAATACTCAGCTATAAATGAAAATGATGTTCTGCCATAGGGCTAGATGCCTCCAAGACTGGGCTTGACCTGGAGTCTGGGCTGTCTGGGCATGTAGCTCCCTTTTTTGGCACTGGCTTGCCCTGTGGCTTCAAATAGGTAAATGAATTCCATGGGACAGCGGGTGCACATGGGTGTTCCCAAGAGCTAGAACTCTGGGGTCCTGCGTGCTGCTGTGTCTCTGACCCCAGTGCTGCCTGATGCATCAGAGATCTCAACCCATGTCTGTTCAACGACAGGCATCATAGTCACTCAATGCACCTGGAGGGAAATTTGGGCACTGATGTTCTTGGTGTCTCTTTCAGGAGGGGTGACGTCCAAGCCTTTGGTACGGGGCATACGAGGTCGAAGCATCAGCATGAAGGAGCCCACCCCTTCCAGAGCCAAGCAGGGGCCCTTCAAGACCATGCCGCTCCGATGGTCTTTTAGACCTAGGGAGAAACCCCTGGGTGCATCCGTTGAGCTGGTGGAGTACTTGGAGTCCAGGCGGAGGCCCCGATCCACGAGCCAGTCCATCGTGCCGCTGTTGATGGGTGCTGCCGGCGAGGATGTGAAGTCGGACGCCGCCGGCTCTGCTAAGGGCGAAGAGGGTGGGCGAGCCACTGAGAGGGCACCGGCTGGAATGCCCTGCCCCTCGAGCCACGCCAGCCCCTCTGCAGCCCCCAGAGTCCCAGATGGTCTAAACGCAGCGAGGAAAGCCAAGGAACATGAAAGTCAGGAGATCAGGCTCCCCAGACAGTTTGACCTGCCCCTGGTGGTGATGCCTTCAGTGGGGACTGAGAAACGAGCCCAGCCCGAGGTCCAGAAGACTGCGAACTGCGATGGAAGTAGCCAGGCAGGGAGCCACGGCAGGGTACCTTCCCCGACCAAGGGGCCTCTGGGCCCTGCGGTGTTACCTAAAAACAGCGCAGACAACCGCCAGAATACCTTAGCCAGGATGAGGGCCAGTGTGGAGGCCAGAGACCCTGAGGCAGACAGATTCCCACAGGGGACCCTCACCCTGCTGAGATCTGTGTTTTGGAAGAAAGAGCACAAACATAACAGGGCGGAGGCGGCCCTCCGGGCGTCCCCAGTGTCCCTGGCGAGCGGGAGTCTGAGCCCGGCTGTGGATGAGCACACCCAAGGCTCCTCGCCTTCCTTCCAGATCCGAGAGAGCCTGGCCAGGGCGCCTGCCAGCTGCCTGGAGAGGGACGTCTGGTCAGCACCCAGCTCTCTCCGCCTCCCTCGCAAAGCTGGCAGGCCCACGAGGGCCAGTGCCCTGGGCCCGTCACAGAGGACAGTTCCCGGGGACCACATGCCTGTTGGCACCTTGCAGAAGGTGAAATACCACACCCTTTCCTTAAGCCGGAAGAAAACATTACCTGAGTCCAGTTTTTGATGGTGTGTTCCAGTCCCACCCGCCCCCCCCCCGCACCCCTGCCAAGCTGGTGAGCCTCGAGACAGAGCAGCTTCAAGAAGCTTGTGTTGTGTCGAGAGTGGGCTTTCCGGAAGCCAGTTGTCTTGTGACCCCTGAAAATTAAAAAAAAAAATTTTTTTTTTTTTTTTGGTCCCCGCCTCTAGATCTCCAACATAGCATGTCCAAATACCTTCCTGTACCGTTGGGTGCTTTCATACGCGTCTGCCACGAGATGGTGCTGTTGAGTCAACGTTACCGGTTCAGGGCAAGAAGGAATTTGTTTGCCTAATTCCCCGGCCTGAGGACACACTGGGGAGAGAGATTCCAACGTGGCCCAGTTTGACAGCATATAACCCTGCAGAGAAGCCTTGTAAATAGGAGCCTAAGACATCAAATCAGTTCTTGCCACTGGCTTCTCTCTCTCAAATCTCTAAAGCTTCTCTGGGATAAAGCCTTCAAGATGCCAAAAACCGTCATAGTGACCTTCAGGCAGGATTTGGGGAGAGATGGAACAGAAGTGATTGAGATCATAGGAAGATATTTAATATATAGCAAAATAATTGTATAACTGTTTTTCAAGGTATTTAAAAAAAACTATTTTGATACTAGTAATAGAAGTTCTCTTTAAGAAAAAATGAAGTATGAGATCTATGTACAGTTTTAATAAAAGCCCATCGGTGAAACATGCAGATGGCTCTCTGAGTTATTCACGTTTAACAACTGATCTTTTTTTTTTCCCCTAAGATTATAATTTTAAGTTATCTCTGCACCCAGTGTGAGACTCGAATCCACAACTCTGAGATGAAGAGCTGCCTAAGCCGGCCGGGCGTCCCTACCAGTGATCTTGTTTTGTTCCCGCTGCGCCGGCTTGGCTCCGTGCTGTTGATCTCAAAGTAGTGACCTGAGTTGTGTCTGAAATTTTAAATAAACTGACTTTGCTCTCTTTAAAGAAATGGGAGTCCCCTCAGGTCTCTGTCTGGAGGGCTCGTACTTACAAGGTCTGAGAGTCTGAGCCTGTCCCCACACACTGATAGTCGACTGTCCCTTTTCCTTGAGCTTTATTCTCTCCTTTCTAGCGGCTCTGACAAACACCACGTCACTAATTCTTACTGGGAAGCGGCTACGCCTGACCCTGGGTCTGTACTTAGTCTGTTTTCTAGAAATACTTCCTCTCTGATGGGAACGAGTTGTACAAGACATTAGACTCCAGAAATTAACTTTTCTTCACCTCTATCGCACGACTCATTAGTATGTCTCAGCTACTTTTATTTTTTTCCTTAAGGAAGAAAGAATGGGGTGTTTTTTTTTTCCCCCTAGTGAGAAAGACTAATTTTTTTTTCAAGATTTTATTTATTTTAGAGAGAGTGAGCAGGGCAGGGGATGGGGCAGAGGGGATAAAACTCAAGCAGACTCCACTGAGTGCGGAGCCCAACCAGGGGCTCAATCCCCTGACCCTGAGACCCTGAGATCATGACCTTAGCGGGAATCAAATCAGATGCTTAAGCGACTGACCCAGCCAGGTGGCCCAAGAAAGACTGCTTTGAACCACAGTTCCGAAATAGGAAAAGCTGAGAGAACCCAGCCATTTGGCCCCACAGGGTGACATGGAAGCCAGAAGACCCGTGTGCTTGCATTTCAAAAGGCATCGAGGTTCTCAAGTGTGAGTTGACGAGTCTCAGGCAACGTGCATCACACGTGTGGTCTTGGGCTAGGGGAGTCTAGGAATCCTGCTATTTCTGGTTCTTTCTCCTCTGGTGGTGCTCATTTGTCATCTTTGGCTCCCATGCCCTTCTAAGGTCAGCCTCCCTTCCTCAGTCCTCTTGGGGATTGGGTGCTGACTCAGATGTGCACCCTCTTGGCTTCTCCCCTAGAAGGGGAGAACTTTTGGGATCCCCTTGGATACCATGAGCAGGTCCCAAGTGTTAGTGGTGGTGTCCGTAATGTACCATGGGCTGGATCGTTTTCCCTGGATGCCAGACTTGGAGGGTTAGTAAGAGAAAATGACATATGGACCTTGGTGGCTATGTTTGCCATCCCAGGTCTTCCACCAGGATGCCCGAGACCCCTCGGTGTCCCCTTCCCTGAGCCTGCTTTTCCCTCTGTAGGAACCTGGCAAGAAAGGCTGTGAGAATAAGTGTCTGGGAAAGGATTTTGACCTTTCCAGAATGAATCTCAATTTACTGGTTTTCCCTCCAGGAAAATTGGTCTGTTCTCCTTAAGCCTTGTTTTATTACTCTTTAACAAGCGTGAGAAATTTCTGAGGGAAATCGAGCTGTAGCACCCTATTTTGGAAGTCACAGTGTAAGGGCCTCCCCCTCCCAGAGGAACTTACTTGTAAACCCGGGATATAGGGGTGGGCCAGGCCGGATGGAGACATCAGTGGGGCGCACATATATTTACTGAAGTGAGTTGAAATCCCATTGGCCACCTGTGTGTGGGCCGGGCTCAACCACCTCTATAAAGGTTAGTCCGCAAGGCTCAGCAGGGGGCGGGGAGTAGTAGGAGGAGTTAGAAGAGCCTTAGGGAGAGCCATTACAGCCGTCGGTTGGGAGAGCTGTTAGGATGGCCGTCAGGATAGCCACTGTAGTGATCGCTGTCGGGAGCCGCGCCGCCCCTACCGCTGGGGAGCGGCCTCGCCACCACCGAGCCGGGGCCCCGCCACGAGCGGCCTCGCCGCCCCCAGCTGCGGCCCTGCTGGGAGCGGCCTCGCCCAAGCGGCGTTATTCCGGGGAGCGGCCTCGTCGTCCAGCGGCCTCATCCCGAGCGGTGGCCTCCTCTGGGGAGTGGCCTTGTCAGAGTGGCGTCATGGGGAGCAGAGTCTGTGTCATCGGGGTTGTCGTCCTCGCTGTCGTCATAGTCTCTTCATCGTTGGGAGTGGCGTCCCCGTTGTCGTCGCCTCTTCGTAAGAGATGGCCCCGACCGGTCGGTTTGATTTTCGATGCTTGGCGCAAAATAAAGCTTGGTTTGATTTTCGCTTTGTGTCAATCTCATTCCTTTGATCACGGACCCTAACAACAATTAATGTAAATTGGACAAAGTTGGAGGCATCAACCTGTTGATGGGTTCCTGCAAGATTTATCGGTCCTTCAAACATCCCCTCCAGCCCCCAATTTTCTACCTGAGTGGACAACATAAGAAAAGGGTCTTGGGGCATTTGGCTGGCTCATTCGGTTAATTGATTTGGGCTGTCATGATGATCTCAGAGTTGCGGGATCGAGCCCTGCGTCTGTGCTTAGTGCAGAATCTGAGATTCCCTCCCCCTCCTCCTCTGCCCCCCAACTTGTGCTCTTTCTCTCTCTACAGTAAGTCTTTTAAATAAAAAGGGGTCTCTAATGAGAGCCCTACTCTGAATAGGTTAAGAAGGTGTGTGTAATCACTGCATTCATGGTGGAAATAGGCTAGTCACACTCCCTTCCGAGTCCTGTGCAGAAAAGGACTCTCTAGACTGACACCTGCCTGTGGCGAATCAGCCCCACCAAAGAAACAACGCCGAGGTGGTCGGAGAAACATGGGGTCAGAGGGGCACCAGCTCCAAACCTAGGTGTGGAGAATTAGAAATAACTCCCCCTGTAAAGATCCACTTCTGGCTTTCTATAGCTGAATTCTGAAATGTTCTCCCTATCTGTGGCTGTCTGTTATGATGCCATAGATGAAGGTTCATCTTCGTGGCCCTCTGTGGTCTCCAAATACCTCCACAGTGACACCTGCATCACTTGTGACATCATGATGAGGTCACAGTAGAGCCCCGGAGGGGTGGGGGTGGTGACGTCCGAAGGTTTCTGTGGTCACATGTTTTCCTGCAGAGAAAGGCAGTCCCCGATCGGACGCCCACATAACAGACTGTGGTGCAGGACCAAGACAGGCTCAGTGTCTTCACAGGATGGAGGATGGAAATTAAGGGTAATTCCACTCTGACCAGAGCACTGCGGTTGGGGATTCTCACTTAGAAAACACGAGACTTTGGACCTATTGGAGGACCGGACCTGAGTCACTTCTCAGATGGTCCAAGCAGCCAGTCGGGGGCCCCAGCTGGACATTGAACCAGATCCTCCCCGACCCGGGACCTGAGTCCTGACTTACCCTGAGAGACCACACGCTGGTGCCGGGCTGCCTGGCGTTCACAGCCCCTGTCTGGCTGTTTGAGTTTAGGAAGTTAGTTTAGCTCTGCCGTGGTTCGAGTTCCTTCTCTGGGAAGTGAGGATAACAATAGGACGGGATCCATCAGGTGGTTGAGGGTACAAAGCGAGCTAGTTAGCAAACGTCAGTTAATCCCTGTTATGAGGACTCTGAGCTGCCGGGAGACGATGTGAGTCAGGCGTGCTCTGAGAACCAGAGGTCCTCCCAGTCCTTGGAACAAGCTGGTTTACAGTATCATAGGGTGACAGGGTAGATCCCAAGAGGGCTAGTGGGAGACATTCACAGGAGGCCGGGTACATACTTCCGTTGACGTATAATTGATTCTGGAGGTTTGAAAACCTTCTGTTCCACTGCCTTAGAAATGGACTAAAGTTGACTCCGTTTTTAGAGATCCTGGAACTCCATCTGTCTGCGGTTCCAGCCCATTCAGGGGCCATATTTATTTTTGTCCCTGGCCGAACCCAGGCAGTTCCTACCCAGGGAATGTTCCTAACTGAGATGTTGACGAGTCAGCTGGCAAATCTGTGAAATACACCAAGAGTCATGCTCATGAAATCACTTTGATGTTACTCAAAATTCTAGTTTCTTTCAGGGGGTTCAACCCTACATGCGGGGTTGGCAGGGGGCCACAGGTCATGGCCAGAAGGCGCTATTCAAGCAAAGGACTTCCAGACATAGCCATTTCCTGTCCTAGCCACATCCCAGAATTCCCCAATAGGCTGTTTTTGAATGGACTGGCATGCAGGTGCCTGGGGCGTCCTGGTGGCTTGGGCCGTGCATGTCACATGCTCTTTCGTCAGACCTAGGCCAGCCAAGCTACACAGACTGAGCACGTCCACCCTCCAGAAGGAAAACGCAGGTGCTCTTTGCCTAAGATGGGAATCCTGGCAGACAGATCAGCTCACAGCCCCTGCCGTGGACACCCGGAATGTTTCTCTCTTGCTCCATTTACTTTCCACCTGAGCTGACACCTCTGTTTCTTCTCCCCTTCTACCTTTTCCTTCTCCCCTTCTTCCCATGTCTTTGCTCATTGATCAAAGGCCCTCCAATTCGGTCCATCCAGCACATGAACAGCCCCATTAGGGTCTAAGTCACAGGTGTGGGAGAGATCAAATTTAAAGAACACTCCACTATCAAAAAAGTGGTCTGACCCATGTGTCAGGTAGTGACGCTCTCTTTTCTCCATCCCTAGATGGGAAGTACAAATAGAGTTGTGCAAGCGACCGACAGCCTTTTTGTAGAGGTCCCAGGTTCAAATTCAGGGTTTGCTATTAATTGGGCCTCACAGCCTGTATATGGATGTCTTGGGGCCTTGGTCGGCTCATCGGTGTAATGGGAACTCGGCAGTGGCATGCTGGGTGGGCTCACACCAGCTCCTGGAAGCCCACTGTTAAATATTCTGGAAAGTCACCAGGCACCTGTAGTTGAAATCACCAATTATTTACAGGAGAGAAATCAGCAAATGCTGCAAATCAGGCCTTCCCCCCCCCCTTCCTCTCCTGGAGAGCCAGTCTGCCAGGCCACCCCTGAAATTATGATACCATCCCTTGTTAGTTTCATGGGATCATTTAGGAAAATGGATCTGAATGCTGGAGAGTGAGTGTTCACCAAGCAGTCATGAGTCTGTGCTCTGGAACCAGCCAAACATGGCCTCGAATCCTGCCACTTCCCAGCTGGAGACCCGGGGCCACTTACTTCATTGGTCTGCGCCAGAGCGCCCATCACGGGAGGGGACAATGATAACACACCCAGCTTGCGGTGTCAGTGAAGGGACTGAACGCGTTAACAGGGGGCACTAGTAACATTGAACAAGAAACGGTCACCGTGCTTTGCAAGGGATCAAGCACCAGTCATTGAGAAGAGATTATTAGGAGGAGCAGGAACCTTCTCTGATCTACGTGGAGGGTTTCATAGACCGTCAGAACTGATCACCTACTTGCACACCAGCTGGTGATGCTTTTTGGATACATTCCAACATGGTCAGTGCCTCCAGTCAGGCTGGCAAGCCTGCTCGTAGGCAGATCTGTCTTAGAACTATATTCCTCTGCATCAGAGACTGGAAATCTGCAGGGTCTGTGGTCCTTCATGCTCTGGGCGCGGAGAACTGTATGACTTTGGAGGAGAGGGAGGACCTCCAGTTTCCCAGTGTCTCTTATAAGGCACATTCCCAAAAGGACGACATATGGATTTGAGTAGGTTGGATTCTAGAACATGTACTTATTAGAGGGTAAGTTCTAGTCTTTCAGAGACCTCCCTGAATCTGTTGCTTTCTCTAGCTTCCAGCCTCCATGGGCATAACTTGATAGCTGGCAGCCCTAGCTCTCTGAGTATTAGCTTCAGGAGGTAAACCACGACCACCACACCACCAAGCAACATTTACTCCTGCATTCCTGGGGCTCACTGATTCTCCTTCCTCCTCCTCCTCCTCCTCCTTCTCCTCCTTCTTCCTCTTCCTCTTCTTCTTCTTCTTCTTTTAAAGATTTTATTTATTTATTTGGCAGAGAGAGAGCACAAGCAGGGGGAGCAGCAGACAGAGGAAGAGGGAGAAGCAGACTTAGATTGGATCATATTGAACCATTTTTGATCTACCATGATGGTGATTTCATGTGTTCCTGTCCAACAACGTGGCCAAGGTCACCTGCCTGGTGGAAGGAGAGCCAGAAGCTTCTCTCTGTGGAGTGAGCTTTCCAAGCCAATGACTATAGAATTCTAGCAGGGAACGCAAGAGATGAAGAGGACAGGAAAACATGAACAATGGATCCCATAATTTATAGCAAGTTCCTAACGCAACAAAATTCAGTTTGAATTTAAAATATATTTTAAATAATTTCAGTTTTCCCTAATTCTTGCCATCTGTAGATCTCTCAAGCTGGGTATCAGCGATAAGCTTTTCAGAAGGGCATGCACCTGCTTGGGGTGACTGTCCCATTCCTCCCCCGCAACCCCCACCCCCAGTCCCATTGGATCATTGCCCCCACGGCAACCTCACAAAGTTGACCCCACAACTTCATCTTTTTTCAGGAGCTGAGGATGATGCCATCTCAAATAGAAGCATCCACAGCAGCCTCAAGGCAGGTCTCCGACCCTCGAGTGCAGTGGAAATACGGTAAGCTGCCTCCTGGGGAAGCTTTGCCAAAACGAGTTCCTTCGAGATTCTTCTGCAGATAAAGGCAGCTCGGAGGAAGGCATAGTTAGGTAAAGGGAAGAGGCTCACGATGTAGGGGAAAAGTAACAGGGCTTACAGACAGCATCAAGGAGTCGAAGAACAACTTGAGAGAGCTTCAACCGGAGACACGGCTGGTCTGAGTTTTAGAACCAGTCACACACTGACCGAAGACGCCTCGAGCCAGTCACTTCATCTCCTGGTCTGACTGTGGTGATATGCAAAATACAGAAGGAGGTCCTTGCAGCGGGAAGGGTCCTTCAAACTCTGATAGATGATTGCACTGGAAAATGGTTCTGGAGCTAAACTTTCTGGAGTCTGTGACCAGATCTGTTCTTTACCAGATTTGCAGTTTGGGCACATCCCTCCCCCGTAGCTCGAGGATGATGGCGGAGCATCACAGATGGCGCACCCCGCAGGGTTATTGTAAGGATCATACTTATTTGAAAGAGTCACGAGAGTGCCTAGCCCATAAAAATGCTACGCTGGTCTTTGTTTTCATTATGCCTCTTACTTTCTCATCCAGGTGAGCTTCATAAGTCCTAAGGCAAGATTTAGAAAGAGTTCAGGACGAAGGAAAATAGTTCAGCTGGGGACACGTGCTCAGTGGACAGGCTTCAGTCGTGGCGAGGAGGACATAGGATGTACTTAATTCTCTCTTAAAATTGAGGGAGCTCTTCTCTTCAGCTCCCCACCAGGACCCTGTGTCTCCAGGAAGGACGAAAGAAGACGACTCCTCGACTTGCTGTCTGTGTGCCCAGCATCTTCTGCTGCATCCCAGAGTGACAGAGAGAACGGTGGGACCACACCTGCGCTTGGTCCCTAATCTTGTTGCCTTGCGTTGTGGGAACCCAACCGGAGACAGAAACCACAGGGGAATTCGGACAAGTTTTAAGGTTTTTTTTTTTTTTTTAACATTTTATTTAGCAGAGAGAGAGGAGCGAGAGTGAGCACAGGCAGACAGAGTGGCAGGCAGAGGCAGAGGGAGAAGCAGGCTCCCTGCCAAGCAAAGAGCCTGATGTGGGACTCAATCCCAGGATACCGGGATCATGACCCGAGCTGAAGGCAGCTGCTTAACCAACTGAGCCACCCAGGCGTCCCCGGACAAGTTTAATATAGAGAAATATACTGCCTGGCAAAATTTGATGGGAATGTGGCCCCGAGGGTATGCAGGAAAGCTGCTCTAAGGAGGGGCCCCCCAGGAGGCAGACCAGTGCAACCCCCCAGAGGGGGTGCTGGGGAAGGCCCTTGGGGGCTGCTGGCTACCACGCATACCCAGCACTGAGAAGACATCTATGTGCTAAGAGAACCAGCAAGAACTAGGACGAGAGGCCCCTTCTTTCCGCAACACCTCTCCAATGTCCTCTGCTGACAAAGCTTAGCGTCATGCCAGCTGGAAAAGGAGAGATGTTTAGAAGGTCCAAATGCCTGTTCACAGAGCAGATAATGAAGTGTGCCTTAGAAGGCAATTTGTTGATAACTGGTGCCAGCTGTGTTTTTCCCAGTGCCATGTTCTGGATTCTTCTGGATGAGCAGGGCCCCTGTCATGGGTCTTATCTTTATGCAGGAGCCTTTCCCTAACCCTGTAAAGATGTAAGGAGACCCCTACGGGCATGAGCTCCAGGCTCTGTGCATTTCCAGTCCCCTGAGCTGTTCAGATCCCACCCACGTCTGGTTTTCAACTTCATTTCCATTACCAGCACCTACAGTGCTTCACTGGGAACATTGTAACATCTTACAACTTTCACCATTTTCTTTATGTCTGCTGTGGGGACTGGAGTTGACCCAGAAGTACCAGGCACCACGGTGAATTTTTGCACCCATCCACAGGGACACACAGGACACGGGTGGGATATTTGACACCTTTTCATTTGCAAATCCACGATGTGGTTTTGTAAATGAAATCGCAGATAGGATCCCCTGTTAACATCATCTTGTAGGTAACTTGATAGTGGGAAGGGGCCTCGTACATTTGATCGTCATAAAAGAACAATAAACACCATTGGGAACAAATCGGAGGACGTCTGGGGGGCTCAGTCGGTTAAGCATCTGCCTTTGGCTCAGGTCATTGATTCCAGGGTCTTGGGATGGAGCCTAGAGTCCATCCCAGCTCATCGGGGAGACTGTTTCTCCCTCTCCCTGCTGCTCTGCCCGCTTGTGCTGTCTCTCTGTCCGAATCAATCAATGAATCAATCTTAAAAAAAAAAAAAAAAGACACAAATGAGAAGGAGCACCGAGCTTGGAGTAGTGGGTGGGCAGGGCAAAGACCCACATATGGGGTCTTGACTTCATCGGCCACCGCTCCTCCCTCCCCCGTGCTCTCCTCCCCAATTCCCAAACACGGAGCCTCTCTTGGACACCTTGGCCTTTGCCATTCTCTCTTTCTGGAACATACTTTCTCTGCTCCACCTGGAAGATGTCCATGCAGGCTTCAAGCCTCAACTCAGCTGTGACCTCACCTTGGGGAGCCCTCTAGACACCCCAGCGGGCACCTGGCTCCTCTGTATGCTTGGGTTCCTGCAGAACTTCGTTCGGGATGGCCCATGAGACCCTCAGAGCGCGAGGGTGGGAGCTGTGTGTCCGTCTCACCTGCCTGAGTGGCTTAACCTAGTCAAGCTCCTTAAGCAACAGAAGACCACCAGAAAGTAAAGGCCTGGACATCCCTTACCCTCACCTGGCCCCAGTCCAGGGTGGTCAGAGCAGTCCCCATGAAACTGCTCAGGACGGTCTCCTCCTGGACATTCTGGAACCTTCTCTGAGTCAATCCCCGGTGGCCAGGGGTAGGCCTCCCCCTTCCACCCCGCAGAGGCCAGCCGCCTGACACACTGAATTTTCTCTGCAAGCCTGCGGCCTTGGGTCCCTCTTTGTTTCCCAGGATAGGAGGACGACACTCCATACACTCAAGCACTGGAGCGCAGTCAGGACCGAGCTCCCTGCCGCCCTCACCAGGAATGAGAGGGAGCACCGAGGCTGAGCGCGTCTGTGGACTGCTTCGAAAAATCCGGAAGCCTGTTAAGGGCAATGCAAGCCTGTCAGTGGTCTCTGACATCCCTAACGGGGCCATGCTCAGCCTTAAAGTAGTGTCTTAGAGAGGGCACATGGTCTGTAGGGGAGAGAGTCTCCCCATGGTGGAGGGAGCGGAAAATAGTGCTTTCATAACCAAGTGGGGGCAAAGGATGACCATTTGGGAAAACATCTTCAGTATTTTATTTTATTATTTAAAAAAAAACATTTATTTATTTTAGGGGGACAGAGAGTGCGAGTGGTGGGAGGGAGAGAATCTCAAGCTGGCTCCCCTGCTGAGCCTGGTGCCCGACACGGGGCTGGATTTCACGACCCTGAGATCATGACCTGAGCGGAGACCAAGAGTCCAGTGCTCAAACGACTGAGCCACACAGCTGCCCTGCATCTCCAGTGTTTTAAATGTGTATTTGCAAATTGGAAAGAGGCTTGCAAGCTAGGAAAGGTATACAGATTCTCAACCGCGGAGACTGTGCCCTAAACACTCAGATGGGGTTTTCATGAAATCTAATCCGACTTGTTTAAACCTGAATTTCACAGAGAGGTAGGGGGAAGACTTTCACGTGTATCTAAACGTGTTGAAAGGCCGGAAAACCTGATTTTGGGGGCCAAAGGTTCTCCAGCCTTCTCTGTCCCATCTCGGGTATGAGGGTGTCCTTGAACCCCAGAGGGCAGCCCCAGACCTTGGGAGGTGGAGGGAGGCAGCCACAGCCTCCAGGGGCCTGTTGAAGCGTGCATGTTCTAGTCTAGGGACAAGATGGCCTTTCATCCACATGTAATTTCTTTTCTCCTGCACCAGGGCCCAGGATGTCAGAGGATGGGGGGAAGAGGGAAGTTATGGCTTGGTGGCCATGGTATCAGCAACATAGATTCCCGGGGTCACCCAGGCTCGGAAGTCCTCAATGAGGCAGAGGGCTGTGCCCCCCTGCCCCGCCCCAGGTACAGAGCCTGGGGCCACGCCTCCTCCTGGCCTCACAGATGCCCTGAGCCCCAGGGAGCACTGGATGCCATATACTGGATGCCGTGGGATCTGCGGCTTCCTAGCTCCCATGTCCCAAATCCCTGGAACCTGAGACTACTCCCTCACATGGCAGAAGGGAGTTTGAAGGGGAAAAAAATGTGAATAAGTTAAGGACAGAGAGGTGGGGTGATACCCTGGGTGATGGGCATGGCCCCCGCCGTCAAGCCCAAGGTCCTCAGGAGACACAGGCAGAGGACGGTCCGAGTCAGAAACAGAAGGCAGTGAGGACGGTGACAGGGTCTGGAGAGGCAGACTTTCCAGGGCGACGAGCAGCTAGTCCACAACACAGAACCGAAGCCGACTTTCCGAATAGTTGTTTTGTTTGAACAAAGAGTATTGTTGTTACTGATTTTTAAACATTCAGATCAGGTGAGTCAAAATCCTGCCAGTCTCTACTGAAATACCTATCGCCCTGAGTGGTCAGTCACTTACCCTGTGTTGATATTTTTCAGATCTGAGATGCTCCTTGCTCTGTGCAGGTGTGTGAGCGAGAGATTGAGAGAAAGAGAGAGAGCGAATGCGTATGTGCTTGTCTATATGTAGTAGTATATTTGTTTATGGCGGTCTATCTAGTAGATGGATTTTTTTTTTTAACAACATGCAAGCTTCAGGGACTCCGTATTTTGAAGAGTCCTGAATGCCAACATAAGGCATTTAGGTTTGATTTTTAAAAAGAATCAGGGTCGGGGCATCTGGGTGGCTCAGTCAATTAAACGTCTCCCTTCAGCTTAGGTCGTGATCTCAGGGTCCTGGGATTGAGACCCACATTGGCCTTTCTGCTCAGTGGGGAGCCTGCTTCTCCCTCTTCCTCGGTACTCTCCCTCAAGTAAATAAATACAATCTTAAAAAAAAAATCAGTGACTTGGGAAAAATTTGAATACAAGTATGACATGGGAAAAGTCATTTAGGAAAAATACTCAGGACTCATGAAGTTACTGCACTGATCATAAAAACACCACCCTCAGCAAATAAACCTAAGCCAGTTGGCAGAGTGTAACTTGGGTGATCTCTTCTGTTTTCCAGAAAGCGAACACAGCGCAAGGACCGGGACAGAATCAGGGTGAGATATGGAGCACTGGGTTGGTGGCAAGGGACCTAAAGCCCATTTTTTTTCTTTTAAAATATAAGTACTATACTTATAGAAAGCCAAGAATTACAGAAAAGTAAAAAGATAGGGGGAAAATCCCTAAATTGTTCGCTTTTTGATAGGAAGTCTGGTTTCTAGGGCTGTTTTCCTCATGATTGATCAATTCTCTCAAAGGAATTCTTTCAGCATTTCTGGCTGGTTAACCGAAAAGCTATTTCAAAATTATTTCATTATGGGGATGCCTGGGCAGCTCAGTCAGTTAAATGTCTGCCTTTTGCTCAGGTCATATCTCAGGGTCCTGGGATCGAGCCCCACGGCGGGCTCCCTGCTCAGTGGGGGGGGGGGGCGGGGTCTACTTCTCGCCCTTCCTCTCCCACTGCCTCTCTCCCCCTGCTCATGCTCTCCCTCTGTCTCAAATAAATACAATCTTAAGAAAAAGAAATTAATTAAAAATCAAGTGTTTTAAAAAAATGTCTTCATTAAAGACTAATAGATCTTTTGATGGGTTAATAAATTTATTGCCTTCCATTCCAAGGTACGGGGATAGCTGTCATCCACACGTTGTGATTCCTTAAGTACAATTCTGTATTACATAATTATTTTATCATATTTTGAGCAGTTGTTTTGCTTTAAAATGACATAGTATATTTACAAAATGTTGTATACAATCTAAGTGAATCAGCCCCTTCCTCCCGGCCCTATCTGAATCCCATTACCCTCCCCGGAAGTAACTCTTGTCATCTGTTTGGAATGTTTCCTTCCGCATCTCTCTTGTGCATTGCTTTTATAGGAAGAAGCATGCAATTTTGGTCCATTTGTGTGTTCACATAATTGCTTTTCTGCGACTTGCTTCTGTAGTTCAACAGTAGAGCTGGGGGATGTTTCCCTATTGGTGTGGATGGACACACTTCCTTCCTTCCAACTCATGCTCTGTGCACTATAGGGCTCAGGTACCTGTGAGTTTTTAAACCCCTACTGATGGACATTTCCTTTTATCCCAGGGATTCTGATGTGTTTGCAGTCATAATCATGGTTAAGTTCTTTAACGCAGGTCTTTTCTCCTCATCCTTGCATATTTCTTCATCTAGGTCTTGCATCTGTCTTTTATTTATTTGCAAATATTTTATAGTTTTTATTGCTATGGAAATGCATCTTTTTCTCTATCACACTTTTAGTAGCTTTGATACTATTTTAGTTTGTTTGTTTTCTTTTTAGTGCATCTTGTATCTGGTCACTTTGTTGACTATCATTTATTTTATTTGTTTTTTTCTCTTATTAGTGTCAATTTGTCTCTCCCAGTTTAACATTCCTACTTCTTCTTAATTTTCTTATTTTACTGTACCTGTTAGGACGAGCAGTGCCTTGCTTATTTGTACTGGGAAAGGCTGGCATTCTGGTCCAGTTAATGACTTTAACCTTTCAACCTTTGAGGTATAATGTTTATTGTAAATATCCCTCCTGGGTGGTCCTTGAAGAACTTAAGGGATCTTTTGATACTATTTCCTTAGTTTAAGAATAAGTTTTAATTTTTCAACACTTTTTCACAGTGAAATTATCATGGTTAGTTTATTTTTTATTTTTTGGCTAGTGTTTAATGTGTGCTTCAAAAATGCATATTCTTTTTAAAAAAAGATTTATTTATTTATCTTGGTGGTGGGAGGGACAGAGGGAGAGGGTGAGACTGTCTCAGGTCAACTCCAGCTGAGTGCAGAGCCCAACACGGGGCTCGATCTCACGACCCTGAGGTCATGACCTAAGCTGAAATCAAGAGTTAACCGACTGAGCCACCCAGGCACCCCTCAAAAATGTGTGTTCTTTAGGCACGGGATCCCATGGACGAGTACTGGATCAAGTCTGTTGAGTTATTCACATACTCTAACACTTTACCGATTTTATCCCTTACTCGATCTATTGATTTTTGAAAAGACGATTAAAGTATGTCACGGTGATGATTTTTCCATTATATTTGTTAGGCTTTTGGTTTATATTTCAAAACTGAGTATCATTAAATGGCCAATTTATCTGTTGTGTTTGTATTTTGTTACTAGAAATGTAAAAGGTTGGGTGTATTTTTATCCCCCTTGAAAATTCTAGCCAACATCCTGCTGTTGGCTTTGACCGGCCCCGGGGAGTCCTTCTGACCGCCTTTGAACACTGTGGCCGGAAGTAGTATGCCGACACACTGGGTCAGGGTAGCAGGTCCGTGGCTGGCTCCAGTGGTGGGATTGGCCCCATGTAGACAACATGACTGAGATAGGAAAGGGGGGGTTCTCACAGAAACATGCGAAGGAAATGGGATGTTGGGCAGGCTAATACCATAGATGTGTGCTTTCTGTGCCTATCCTCCAAATCAAGGGTTTCGATATGTGGAGATTAAGGAGGAAGACATTCTGGGTGGAAGGAAACTATGAAGGGTGGATTGTTTGGGAGAAACTGTCATGTCTTTGCACAAGTTAGAGAGTAGGGGCTGGGTCCTGGAAAGGAATAAAGCCGGTGCCTTTGGGCCAGACCATGGGGTCAGCTAAGACATTTTTACTTTATTTGGCAACTAAAGGGGAATCCCTAATTCAGCTATTTCCTGCAAACTTCTCCCCTTCCAGAATTACCAGACGGAAGGGAAGGACCAGCGATAAGGGCAGGAAGTTCCAAGAAAGGATCCGAGGCAAAAGGCTGACTGATGAGTCTCAGGATACAAATAATTCAATCAAAGGAGTGGACCAGAAGCAAAAACCAGGGGCCGCCCGAGAGCGGAAGAGGCGGAGACTGTGGTTTCAGAGGGTGAGGCCGAGGAGTGGGTGTCCACGGGGAGCTCGTGACCCTCCCCGAAGGGGACAGTGCCTGCCAGCTGGCATCAGTATGAACATAGTGATGATCGCCCACAGTGAGTGCCATTTTCCTGCCCTTCCCTTTCTCTGACGTAGTCTTCACCCTATTTTCTTCTAGTCTCCCTGTTTCTCTTACAGATCGAGACACAACTACTTTTGACCGGCTTGCATAGTGCTGTTTTTTCCCAGCCCACCCACTTGCCTTTCACCCACTCAACAGACTGATCTCAGCATCTTCTTTTTTCCTCTTTAGACCTTGTGTTTGGACCTCATCTACGAAATAGTATCACCTTATCCTCAGATTCTCTTCCAGCTCTAATAGTCTCTATACCAAGCTCCATGTATCTTCCCATCCCCTTACGACCGTCTTCGAGGACTTATACAAACCCCCTTCTGGTCACTTCCCCTGGTCTTATGAAAGCCTGCCTGTTCCCATCCAGTGGTTTTCTGTGTGTATCTGGTATTTCCAGCCACATACACTCAGAAGGTGTTGGGACATTTCCCTAAGTTACTTTGACCTTGGACTCTATGCTCCTCATCAGTATGGGACTACCTTGTCCAATGCCGTGGAAAACCCATTTATTTCATTTGTGTGGATAGTGTATTATTTGGGGAGGGGAAAAGCTTAGATTCGAAATCAGAGTAGCTAGGCAAGACGCTTTCTGGTTGTATGACTTTCAACCTCTTTAGGTGGGATTAATTGTCTTTTCTGCGTCATACAGATGCTGTGAGAATCAGATAATATATTATTGACCCACTTTTTCAAGCGAGAAGTTCTGTATAAATGGGAGGTATGGCATTAAGCTTAATAGATTCGTAGGGAGTGCCGTGTTCCAGTGCCAAGTGCGGTCGGGGAGCAAAGCCCAGTCAAAGGGCACGGATTTGCTCTGAGATGTGCAGAACACCTAAAATCGCACTACTTCTCCCCATCTGCGTGACTGTCACTCTGGTCCGTATTCCACCAACCCTCTCCTGGATAACTGTCCTAGCTCCCTAATTTGTCTGTCTCCCCTCTTGCCTCTTACAGTGCCTTCTCCACGAAGCATCCAGAGTGAGCGTTTAAACAGGCAGTTAGCTTGCAACTGTCCCTGCCTTCAACCTTCCACTGGGGGGACCCATCCTGCATAAACCCCATCGTGCACCCCGTTCCTTCTTTGAGCTCTGGCCACACAGGCCTTTGCTTCTCTGCCTCCCAGCTCTGGCTTTTTCTTAGCATTCAGGAAGGTCTCAAACATCACATTGGCTGAGAAGTCCTCCCCGAGCACCTTCTCTAAAGTAGCATCCCCTTTGTCTAGTTCCCTAATAGTGTTCTTCACTGTCTGTGACGGAGAGGGCTTCCAGTCTCCAAGGCATAGTAGGAGCTTTGAAAATAGCACGGAGTAGGCACTCAGAGATAAATGCTGCATGAATCCGTCAACAAGGCCCTCATGGGTTTCCATCTGGCGATAGTGTCGGACCAGGCTGGTCTTAAGTCCCCAGATTTTATCCCTCATTAAAACACAGCAAGGTTGGTTCTTAAATGCTGTTTCGAATGTTTCTTAAATGTCAAATTTCTTTTTTTTTTTTTAAATAAAGATTTTTATTAGAGAGAGAGGGTGTGAGGGAGAGAGCACCAGCAGGGGGAGCGGCAGAGGGAGAAGTAGAAGCAGACTCCCCGCTGAGCAGGGAGCCCGATGCGGGGCTTGATCCCAGGACCCTGGGGATCATGACCTGAGCCAAAGGCAGACACCTAACCGACTGAGCCACCCAGGCACCCCTTAGCTGTCCGATCTTCATCTTTTTGGTGAAGCTTACTAGAGCTGCAAGAGAGAATGAGGATGCAGTGAATATAGCCATTCAATAGCTCTTCGTAGCTCTTGTGAGGAATCCAATGCCCCAGAGTATCTTCACAATCTACTTTCAGAGCCAGACAGAAACGTATCATGAAAGTTGAGGGATTTCAGGTGAAGGGCGTGTGGACCTGCCTGTTATTCTTCAAAACAGCTGCCAATGAGCCAGAGGCAACGGACTTGGTGAATCCTGATTCCAAACAGATTCCTAATGGATTTAGATCCACTTTTCCTTGTTCGTCAGATCCTGCTGCTCCTCAGGCTGTTGGAGATGTGGCTCATGAGCAGCCCATGAATTCCCTACATTCACAAACCCATGTGCAGCATCCGAGAAGGATTCCAAATCGTTAGGGCTCACGTGGTGGAATGCATCTTACCTGGGGATTCTGTTAGAAAGTCAGAGTCTGAATTTGCTCTTGGGGTTACCGAATGTCACACGCCAAGGGCAGGGCACCAATTTTGTGTCCCTGCAGCATTCTACCGACGCTTCAACTGATCCCTCTGACTCTTCTTTAGAAATTAATTCCACTTCTCCTTTAGGACATCTTCACAGTCATCACTGATTTTGTGTTTGGCCACGAAAATAATGCCTTCTAGCTCTTTCTCAAATGTTAAAAAACCCTGAAAATAACCTACAATGTATTTCTACAGGCTTTATCAGCGTGCTTCAACTGTTTTTTCCCAAGCCACTGAAATTGATCTCTCATCAATTACATGCACATCAATTCAATGCACGGGTGATGTCGCCCACTGTAGTAGAGACAACAATGGCTTGTTGGTGAGTCAAGCCTCCCAAGGTCTTACTGATCTGGGTATGCAAACACAACACCACTGAAAATCATCCAGATTCTAGCGGCTCTCCCCAAACTGCAAATTTCGGACACGTGGTACAAGTCTGACCCCATTGCGGGGGGTGGTGCTACCACCAGGGCGGATGTTCCTCATCCCCCCAGCAAATCACTTCCGGTGGGTCCCTCCCCTCGGCTGTCCAGCAAGGACATGCAGCTGGTGATGTCCCCATACTGGTACCAGGAACTGTGGCACATAGTGGTCTCGCTTATGGTGCTGCTTTATGGTATCTGGTATACCAGCCTTGCCGTGTTTGCTCGTGTCCAGTGATGTTGAATGCTATCCAGAATAATCAAGCAGGGCAGGGGACGCCTGGGGGGCTCAGTCGGTGAAGCGTCTGCCTTTGGCTCAGGCCATGATCTCAGGGTCCTGGGATGGAGCCCTATGTCGGGATCCCTGCTCAGCAAGGGAGTCTACCCCTCCTCTCCCTCTGCCCCTTTTGCTTGTGCTCTATCTCACACAATCTCTCTCAAATAAATAAAATCTTCAAAAAGAATAATCAAGCAGGGCAGAGAGAAAGGTAAAAGCAAAGGTAATGACTAGCTCATTCAACCACTAAAGCGTCTGATTGTTCGCCTGGGAAAACTACAATAAACACATGATTTCTCCTACATTTCCAGATTTTCTGGACACTCTGTAGCATATAAACTGTTATAGTTACTACTTTAAACGTAGAGATACTTCATCTGAAAAAATATCTGGAGATTGAAGAAATATATTACAGATGCTTTTTTTTAAAAAGTAACATAATGTTTAAAAATAAATTGACCTTGTTTGGGACATGCCTCTGAATGTCAAGTCCAAGAAGTATTTTCCTCAGGTGGGCATTTTTTTTTTTTTAACATTCCTCTGACTTGGATTCTTTCTTTCAGAGGGGCACAGGGAGGATGGTGTTCATTTCCTTCTTCCTTCTTTCTTTCTCTTTAATCTTCCAGTGGAGAGACAATACAGGTCTGACTCAGGGGACAGGAATGGCCTCACCATTACTTGGAGGTAAGAGGGTTCCCCGATGAGGGCCGCGGGGGGCAAAAGCTCACTTTTCTTCCAGAGGCAACCAGATCTGTTTCCTCTCCCAATACACCTGCTTGTGGAATTGCTCCTTGTCCCAGGTCCTGCCCTCCCAATACCACACCTTGTAGGACATCTTTCCCAGGAGCTCAGGGAGGAAGAGGCAGGGGAAGATGGGTTTGCCAAAATCTGGACACGTTTTGCTCTTGGGATCCTGAGAGAAAAGGAATCTCCAGAGCTGACAGGAACCACCGACCCTAGTGCTATCTAGTTTCCTTGGAGAACAAATTCTTTTGGGTCTTTTGTTTTCCTTTTTAGACTGAAGATACTTCCCAGACCCAAGGAGAAGGTAAGTGGAAATACTATGAACCAGCAGCCATTCCAGTGTCCATGACTTGTTGGCCAAACAAACAGTGCTTTTACTTGAAGATATGGGATGGGAGGATGAAAAAGAGGTTGGTTCTCTCTCTCCCTCTCTCTCTCTCCCTCTCCTTTCTTTGTAGTCTCTAATCTGTCATCTATCTGCCCATCTATCCATCCATCCATCTGTCCAGCCATTGGGGAAGACAAGAGAGAACAGAGTGTTTTATTTAAATACAAATGCTGTAGAAAATTCTGTAGGGTAAGAGTAACCCATATTGGAGTTCCTGTTATTTTCAAGATAGGAGAGTGTATGGCTCATTATAATTTTTAGTTCTTGAGTGTCCAGGCCAGTTCCAAGGAAACCAGTTATGGTTTTGCTGTGTTTTTCCTTACATGGGCATGGCGGGGCCCCATGCAACAGGGCCACCATCCTCTGGAGTCAATCAGAGCTCTACAGGCACCCATACTGAAACACACTCATGCACTTTAACAAGGATAGATGGATTACGTGTACTTTTCGTAAAAAACACCAAATAAAGCAAGCGTTGGACGGTGACTGAGTGGCTCAAGGAGCACCTTGTCTTAGTGGGTGTAGGAGGATGGCCCCTGTCAGGCTACCCCTCAGCAGATTACTTATCTACTAGATATGCAACCTGTCCTCTGCAGTAAGGACTGCAGTGCATTTATTGATTGATCTCGTGGCTGATGGCTGAGGCTCAGCGTATTACGTACTCCCCCCAGTAACTTACTTAAAGTGATTTTTTTAGGGGCTTGACTAAGCCTTTCTCAAAGAACCATTCTGAACTAGTTACTTAAGTTTCACGTGATTGGAGGATTACCTGTCACCTACCTGTTAATCCATCTCTTTTGTTTATCGTGATTTCCAAATAGGAGTTTTTACAAATATAATAAAAGTCAAATACATCCCCTCTCTACAACAGAACGATTATTTCCCCCCCTGTCTCTCTGTGTCCTCATTCCTTGGGAAAATAGGCTCTCCCCTAGACACCTGTTGAACAACCTGAGCCTGTCTCCACAACAGGTGAATATAGTCAGAAAGAAGAAAATGCAGACCTAACCAGCTCCTCATTTTGCATGGGACTGAGGAACGGGGTGCCCGTGAC